TACATAACAGTCTGCGCGTTTGAAATGCCCTTGCTGCTAGGTTGCTTCCGTTGTAATCAAATCACATAAAATTAACGATCTGACCTAACGACACATGCAAAGTTTCCGGTGGCGGGGACAAACAATCCTCTACAATTTTGCAAGTTCAGCTGGGATCAAACATCAGATTGCACATAGGAGGCCAAGCACCCGTATGTTTTTCGGCTTGTCCGCAGCTGAATTCGTGGAAAATGAAGATTTTTTTCTATTATGCTGTCACATGACACAGGATTTGTAGGGGACGGTATTTCGGGAAGGACTGAGACCCTTTGATTGTGTAGTTTCCGTAATGATCCATAGACGTCAATGGTTCTCCTCGCAAGGGTGTCCAATTCCAATTTATTCATGGTACTAGCTCTTTTTGCAGGGTTCATAGCTCAGTTTCTTTTTCGTACATTGAGGAAACCAAGTGCTCAGAACGGGCCCCGCCATATCTATGAGGAACGGATTCCCTTTATAGAATAGAGGCCGATTATCTTCTAGACCAGGTCCTGTACTTGTTCGGTGTTTGGGAAAGGTTGTTGGTTCTGAAAGGTGTAAGTGGGAGAGTAGGCGGAGCATCTCCACATTGGTCATGAACCACCATCATTTCACCGTCAAAACAACTTCGTAACATCCTTTTTCCTTTTTCGTTCATTTTTCTGTTTCCTTCTTATTTTCCTGAACTTCATTCTTTTTGGCACATTTCTCAAAGGGTTCTTACAATACAACCTTTTTAAGGGGGTAGTAAAGGGTGCCAAAAAAATTACAAAGACTTGTTTGTTGGAGTAAAACTGTGTTTAGGGCTTATGTGGCATTTTTCCCATGGAGAAGCCTCTATTTGGTTTCTATTACATAATTATCCATTTATTTTTTTTGAAAATAGCCTTTCATACGCTTTCTACCTGTCATTACCATAAATTGTGAGTAAGGGGAGGTGCACCTTCCCAGTGCCTAATATCTACCAGGCCGGATTAGAAAATCGATCTATTGAAAAAGGGGCTTGCACTCTGGTGACATATTTGAATTACAATCAAATAACATGCTCTGGTAGAATAAATGGCAACCGGATAGTGATTTTCAGCCGCAACCTATAAGGAATTCGGACCTAGGGGAGGCTGATTTACTGGTTCGTTCGGAAAGTCTCTGCTGAATAGTCGCAGTGTTTCAGATTTCTTCTAAAACTTCTGGAAATTTCCATTGA